GCTCTCACGCACGCGCTCTCACGCACGCGCTCTCACGCACGCGCTCTCACGCACGCGCTCTCACACTCACACGCTCTCACGCTCTCACACACGTGTGTAAGTATATAACATAAACAAAATTATGTATCTATGGGTTACTATAAATTGAAGTATACCAATAACAAGAAATATACAAATCACATATCTGACTAAGGCAGATAATCAAGTTCTTTTGACTACCTCGAAAGACGGTATCCAATGAAATATAACATGCCTTATCAAAGTGCTACAGAGCTATAATTTAAGGATATATAGTCAGAAAACTAAGGCTGTGGTATACCAAGGAAAATATTTCAGAAGAATAAAACTTATCAACAAACAAATTATTGATCAAGTATTTAACTTCACTTACCTTGGCTGCAAAATATCAGCCCCAGAATGCAAGACCATGTAAGTACAAGAAGTTGAATGCCTTACTCAAGAGGCATTTTAAAAACAATTTATTGAATGTGGAATAGACGTTTTGTGGTCTTTTGTTACCTTTCCAAAAAAATGAGAATCGATGGACTTCTGTCAGTCTCCCTCCCGTTCTCTGTCGGCCCCCCTCCCTCCCTTTCTGCCAGGCCCCCTCCCTCCCTCCAACTCTTTCTCTGTGCGTCTCAGTAGTACCAAATAGTATGAGACAGAGAAAGTCTGTGCCATTTTGTGACACCACCAGTTACTTTCTTGTATGTGTGCGTATTATATGGTGTTATACGTAGTATATAGAAAGTTATGTAATCCTGTGGAAAATCTATTTACACGTTTTTGCGTCCTTGATACCGATAAAGCGTTTTTTTTTTCCTCCTTTCTTCAAACCGTCGGTGTACGTGAACAACACTTGCGCCTAAACTATGTGTACGGTTTTTTCCAAACTTATTAAACCCCCGTCGATCTGGCGTGAGTAGAAGCTCTGCGGTTATGAAAAGCATTTAGGGGTATTTAACATGAAGCCCCAGAGATATTTTCAAAATTTTCTCAAAAATGACATCATACCTTTTTTTAAATTTCTTGTTACAATAGACCAAAATACACTGGGTATAAATGGGCCATTTGTCGAGTTTTCACTGTTAACACTTAATTTTCGATAATTGCGATAGTTAATTTTTTCGGCATTTTTCTGCCACTACAAAATTAAGATATAGATTTTTCCTTCAAATAAAATATGTTGTGCTTAATTTGTACCTTCGTTAAGGTCGTGCATATTTTTTTGAAAATTTTAGTCGTGTTTACGAATTATTGCGTGCTATTAAAGAATAACAAAAGCAACATTTTCTCTAAAACGACTCCAAGTTTTGCTTTAAACTTTTGGGATGAGTGTACCTATAAGACAAGTGTACTCCATGAGATGACATAAATGCCCAATTGCTCTAATCTTTTGTTTTTTAAAAATTACAAACGTATTTTTTTTACAAAAATTAGCTTTTTTGACCAGGCTCTCGCCTCGTTAATATTTACATTAGCGGTGATTTATTCACATTATTGCAATTACGAGTGTATGAGCTTCAAATGATGTTCTTATAAAGTTTGTCGAAGACTGTTTTCTGTGAAAATGAGTTCATATTTCCGAATTTTCATAATCCTTCAAGCACCATTTTCTCAAAAAATTGCTTCAATTTTTGATCTTAAACTTTTCGTACGAATATATATTAATTTTGTTAAATCCGTTTTTCATTCAAAAACTACACATGTAATTTTTTTCATTTTTCACGCCGTTAAATACGCACATATACAGCGGTTAGTATATACTATTGCACTTTGTGGAAGCGCTTCAAATGATGTCTATCGAAAACTCAATTTCTGTGGAAAAAAGCATCAAATTTCGCTTGTACAGTAACGCTTAAACGTATTTTTCTTAGAAACTTCTGATTACTACTACTTAGAAACTGAAAATTTTTCAATGGAAATTGCCATTTATGACGTGCTTTTACTCTTCTTTAATGTCCTTAAAGTAATATTTCATTCTGCTATTCGGAAAGCAAAAAATTAAGGAGATAAAAAAAAAACTTCAGGCGATGGAAGATGGCAGCCGGTAATAGTTTGTGGCAAGTCAGATTAGCTAGCCCAGACCAAAGAAAATAGAAATCTATTGTACTACGAGAATGTCTGTGCCATTCTGTAGTACAACTAATTGTGATTTCACTGTATCTACGAAGCCGAGCACATTTCACTCTCTTCTTTTGTCTGATATCTTTAAGGTCAACATCTTTTTGTCGACTATTATGGTGGTGCATGTCAATTTTATATTCAGTTACAATGTTGTCTACGTTTCACAGAACTTTTTTGGTTGGTTACCTTCTAAATATTGAGAGAAAACAGAAAACACACAAACTTCACTGCTCAATTCATCAATATATTATTTTCACGTCACCTTTTCAATACAGGTTTTCTCTCTTGATTTCGCCATGCTTGTCTGGGATGGTAAGTCCTCAGACCTTTCTTTTCAATTGCTTTTACTGCAGCACTGTATAAAGCGAGTTGAACTTCATACAGATTTCGCTGTATTCTCAGGTGCTCTTTCAAAGCGTCATCAAGTTGGGAAACGGCTACATTACTGGCAGCGTATGAGCGACTGACAGTTCAATGCGCTGTTGCCACACATTACTTCGCACATGTCACCACCTACATGACAGATATATGAAATCTCAAAGCATTAACATTTACTGACATGCTAAGACGGATTGATTTCATGTTCATGACTTTCACCATAGAAGAACTTCATCACTTCGTGTCACTCAGAAGAGCGGCAACGCTGAACCGTGGCTGTGAAAAAATAGACGTCGAAAGCTAATTGCTTCAGAGCAGGCGACGTACCACAGCATGTAGCGAGAGAACCGTCAGAGTCGCTTATACGCTGCCGGTACTGTAGTTTTGCTTGATGTACGCCATACGTAAAACTGATATGGCTGGTCTGTTTGAATGATCGACTGGACTGTAGTACGCAAAGACTGCTGAATTTTTCTTTCACTTATGTCTTCTCTGGATCTCTGGTGATGATGATTATAATAATTATTATTAATATTATTAGTAGTATAAATATTATTGTTACAGTACCGCCGGCGTATAAGCGACTCTGACAGTTTGATGTGCCTTTGCGACACATTAACACGCTCATGGCACCACCTACATGAATAAATGAAATCTCCAAATTTTAACACTTACTGACTGACAGGTGACGACATATCTTTATATCATGTTCGTAACTTTTGCCGCACTGAACCTTATCGCCTCCGTGACTTCGTGTGAATCAAATAAGTGGCAACGTTGAACGCTAGCGGTGAAAAAGTAAACAAATCCACGCAAGCTGATTCCATTAGAGCAGGTCACATGCCGTACCACAGCAGGTAGCGAGAGAACTGTCAGTCGTTTACATGATGCAGGTACTGTAATATTATTATTAGTGTTAATATTATCTTCATAATTAAAAGAAAGTAGCGTACTTGTCTCTTTACATGATCAAAAGTAATACATTCAGTTTTTCTTTTTGTGTCAATTTAAAAAAACAAAAGACTCAAATTTGTTAGTAATATGAATTCTTAATTCTCTTGTCAAGACTACAATGCAAGAAATGAGTTCAATGAGACGTATCACCAAGTATAAAAAAAACCAGTTGGGTAAAGTTTGCTTTGTTTGTAACAAATGTTTACTAATGTCTGTATGTCTTTGAATAGGACAAGATCGGGATAAAGTGACTGGTTTTATTGTTGAACGATCTTTTGGTGGAGTGACGAATGGTCTTCCAGAAAAGAAAATGGGTATCAAAGCATCAAACACAGCAGAAGTGTACTTTGAAGATGTTAAAATTCCTATTGAAAATGTCTTAGGAGGAGTTGGTAATGGCTTTAAGGTATGTAAACATTTTTGTTTTGGAAATCGCAACTTTCAATTTTCCTCTGTTGGTTTAATTAATGTGAAATTCAAAGCTTATGAGACTGCACATTTCAACATTGAATGTTAATAAGTTCGTTGGAAGATTGACTATCTGATGATATAAATTTGAATCAAATAGTTACAGCTTATGCTCGTTGTAGGGTTGCAGTACCAAAAATTTTTGCTTTTATTTAGTTATGTAGTTTGCATACTTCTTTCATTTGACATCATACTCTAGTGAGCCATAATCACATCACAAAGGTTCTGGCAACAAATGCAAATCATATATGAAAAATCCATATGAATACTGTAGGCCTCATTTATTAACTTATAGGTGTTAATTTGGTACATCCATGGGCTTCACTAGCACTGGATTATTGGGAAGGATGATTCAATAGAAAAGCTATATTAAAGACATGTAATTCGCAGAGTCTCCTCTGATATATTCCATGTAGTTTATATTGGTAGGAGACGTGTGTCCCCCATCAGTGGTGAAGTCATGGACGCCTGTAGAATATTTCACCTCCATAATCATCCTGAGCTTTTTGGGGGGGGGGGGGGTCATCAACTTCCCTTTCATCAAGTCTGCCACTTTCCTTGGCCTGACATTCGACAAGAGTTTATCTTGGCGAAATCACATTCAAAACTCGCTGTGTACCATGATTGAACTTCTTTCGCACCCTTACTGATAGGGCATGGGGCCCAGTCCGAGTATGCCTTATAGGACTTTCATCCCTTCTACTGTAGATTATGGGTGTATTGTTTATAGGTCAGTGTCTCCATCGATTCTCCGGTCATTGAATACTGTAACGTTTCTTGGTGGTGAATTAAAACACACAGGTATATAAACAAAGATGTTTATTTGTACACAATTATACCCTAAAACTGCTTGATCTATTTAATAATATTTTACACAGTTCTTGTGTTCTTCACTTGATTATTTTTCTTACACACAACTACTTTCTCTTGATTATTTACAAAGTTCCTTTTTCTACTCTGATTTATATGCATTGTTCTCTGCAATCTACACTATCGCACAGTTCTATGCCCTGTCCACGGTCCACTGTGCCACCACAATTCCCTGCGCTGACCCCGATTCCCTGCGCGGACCCCGGTTCCCTGCGCGGACCCCGGTTCCCTGCGCGGACCCCGGTTCCACTGCATTGCTGTTCACCACAATGCACACTTTAAAGCACAGCTTCCACTTCAGAGACACTGACGAACTGACTGCTTATTCACTTATTACATACAATAACTGATTCGCGGCTGCTTACTTCCGACTACTTACACTGACGTGTGTAAAATGTACAACAGGTCCGCCCGTCTGTGATCAATACTAGCGCATAACCAAACGCAGGATTTTTTCCGAAATGGATAATGGAAATTTTGCATTTACAGTTACGTTTAAATGCCATTTTCTTACTTCCAATATTTTTAAGTAATATTTCAGATTCATCATTAGGAAATAAAAATTGAGAATTATTTTTAAAAACATGCGATTAGGCGGCGATAAATAGGCAGCTGGCAAGACGGAGAAAGATGGAATAGAAAGATGGATTCACTTTTTCGGAATCAAGGCCCAATAATAGAAGATTTTCCCTCGAAAAATGGCCGTTTTTCCGTAGCATTATATAACTTTCTCCATATTTTGTATATTTCTTTGTATATACGTATATTACCTCGTATACACGTATACATTGCCACTCATTCCAAAACACTGTCATTCGATGTCTCTGCCTTGATTGCAATCCATTTGGTAGAAATCTTCCCCTGCTTGATTCTTACCTCCACTTCCTTCATCCATTCCTGACCCAAGATAAAATTAGCATTCATGGTTTTCTCCGGTACGTAGTAAACGAGAGTACTATAGGCCTCGCCATCGATGTTGTCTTTCCCATTCTTTCATCGCCTGTGACGTTCCCCAATCCCGTAAATAATCATGTCTTCAGAGCTGGACATCCCAGTTTCTTTTATACGTCCCACTGTTTACATCACTTCCGGTATCCATCAGTCCACGAAATTCTACTCCATTTATTGTGACTGGAATATATTTGTCCGGACAGTCCAGATCAAGACTCTGGCCGCGGAAGCCTACGACATCATTTAATATATTTGTCCCCACTCAACTGGAAGCAAATTACCTCCCTTTTCTCTGAGCATATGCGAAAGTATGTCCAAATCTGTTGCCCTTAAAACATTTCGGCTCCTCGTATGGTCACCTGAATCTCTCGTGATCTTGACCCTCAATTAGACTGTCTACTGCTGGTAGCCTCTCTCCTCAGTCTTCGCTTCCTCGCTGCTGAACTTTCCACTCTTCTTCTGTTTTTCTTTTCTTGACGATGCTGTGGGCTGATGTGTCTTATTTTTCATCCTGTCGTATATTCAAAGTTTATTCAACTCTTGAATTGTCTTCACGCCATAAAGCATTACCTTTTTTGATCTCACTGCCCGGAATGTCATCTATGATATACTCAATCAAGGCCTCCTCTTTGATTTTTCCGTGGTGGGCAATCTCCATAATTGAGTATAATACTGTTGACCAGTTTCGTTGGCCGCCCGCCTACGTTGACGCAACCGGTTGTGAATCATTGCGGAGTTGATTCTGACAGCGCACTCTGATACGAGTACAAAGCACTTCTGAACGCATTCCAAATGGACGTCTTTTGCGACATGAATTTATTTGCGAATTCCTGCAGCATACACTTCGCATATTTAACTCTGCATGTCATTCCATTACAGAAGCTCGCGGACGTCAAACTCGCGGATCTATTTTTTGGTGACATTCCATCATCCTCGGAAAAGTGCGATAAACTTTCTTCAGCATCCCTAATGGTGACCATGCTTTGCGGCGCCCATCTTCGTCGTCGCTGAGGTCGAGTCCCCGTCATTGGCTGCGCCGCCGTTCGCGATTGTAAGGCTCATTGCTCCCGATTGCGCCGACTGTCTTGTTCATATGCCCCGCGATCGCGTATCCCATATCAATGTTCACGATATGGGCTGTGTTCAACGATTCACAGTTACGACTGTCGCGGCGTCGATCACTTGAGTCGCTCGATTCGCTTTCTTCACTCTCTCTTTTAGTCTTTCTTCGTCCGAGCCCGATATGCTATCAACATAGTCATCTTCCGTCGACAATTCCTCATCGTTCCTTGTTTGTTATTGCCGTTTATATCCGCGTTCGGTTGGCGCCAGTTTTCTCTGCGTCGCGCGGTTATTGTACATTTGCGACATCTGTCGGGCGTTCTGGTATTCACCTGACAACACGCTAGACGAACATGACGATATCAATTTTGTTTTAGCTGCACCTTTTTCTTGGATACTGACTGCCTCTTCGCTTTCGCACAGGTCACCATTCTTTCTGCGCAAGCATACTGGGTGGAAGATTACAGTCCGTGTGTTGCTCGTCTACCAATACTGCTTTGTTTCTTGTATAATTTGTCTTCTAGTCGTCAGGCTTCTCATTTTAAGGTCGACAAATATTAGTGCGGTCTTGTAGCGTTCTAGAGAGCTTTTTTGTCTCCTGTAGTTGGCTACCTGCGCCCAATACTTCTGTAACCTAATTCAATTGCTTCAGATGACTTGGGATAGAGGCGACTTGGGATAGAGGCGACTTGGGATAGAGGCGACTTGGGATAGAGGCGACTTGGGATAGAGGCAACTTGGGATAGAGGCGCCTTTCATTCAGTTTTTACTGTTCTTTGATGAAAAGAAAAAAGTCAAAGAAGAAGGAGATATTTGATTGACTTCTATTATGAATCTTTGATAATTATGATACTTTTACATTTCTTTCTACAGTATGTATTCCTTTTTGCTTCCAGGTTGCAATGAATATATTGAACAATGGTAGATTTGGAATGGCTGCTGCAATGTCAGGAACAATGCGTGCTGTTTCAAGGAAAGCCATTGAGCATGCTACCACACGTTTGCAGTTTGGACGTAGAATTGATTCTTTTGGGGCCATTCAAGAAAAGCTTGCTCGAATGGCATTATATCATTATGTGACTGAATCAATGGCCTACATGATAAGCTCCAATATGGACAGTGGTTCTTTAGATTACCATTTAGAGGCTGCAATATCTAAGGTAATATAATCTGAGCACTGAGATTTGGTAATTGACATTACGACAAGCATATTAATTTAGAGTTCTTAAAAGTCTCTCTTTAATTTTTTTTTTTTTTTTTTTTACTATTACAGGTCTTTGCTTCTGAAGCAGCTTGGCAAGTAACTGATGAAGCCATACAAGTTTTGGGAGGTATGGGCTTCATGAAGGAAACTGGTTTGGAGAGAGTTTTGAGAGATCTTAGAATTTTTAGAATATTTGAAGGCACCAATGACATATTAAGATTATTTGTGGCATTAACAGGTAATAGACCAAGTCTGTAGAAGTGATTTTATTAAAACTGTTTAAAATAAATGTATTGAGGATATGGATTTTGTTTCTAGGTATTCAGTATGCAGGTGTTCACTTAAAGGAACTTCAAAAAGCTTTTAAAAATCCCACTGCTAATTTAGGACTAATCTTTAAAGAGGCAACAAGCCGTGCTATTCGTTCTGTTGGTCTGGGAAGCACACCATCATTGGGTCCTCTAGTACATCCAAATTTATCCAACTCTGCCACGAAGGCTGCAAAGGTATCTCTCAATTTTATGTCTTTGAACTAAGAAGCAGACGTGTGGTTTTTAGTATTTTGTCGTGGAGAGATTAGTAGAATTATAATTGTAAATGAAGGTTCATGGTGTTTTCTTGGCTGTATGGGAACTTAAGATTGGCCTGGTCTTAAATTCATTTTATAACACCTTGCATACCGTGCCTAAATCTAGTGTTACTAACGCCCAGTATGTACAAAAATTGAAAAAAACGACTGTGCTGCCTCCAGTTGTGGGAGAAGTGTCTAGGGTTTCAATATTACCAAACTCGGGAACTCTGGGGAAAAATACAAAAACCTGATACTGTGATATACCAAAATATTTGTTATAAATTTGCCTGTCTACAATATCTCAATAATACTACATGGATAGATCTAATGTCAGTTAACAAACTTACTCCAGACAGTAAGTATTTCAGAATATTGCCCTACTGAACATTTACATGAATGGAATGGTTATTAAACATTAAATAAAATATATATTATCTTTATAGAAGAACCTACCTACACTCTATTTCCGAGTAGAATAAATGAAAATATGTTAACTACTTTATGTACATGAAATAATGTGCATTTCTTTCAAATGATCTAATTTCACTAACATAAAAGGAATGGAACTTGGAACTTGCTTGAAACTAAATAATTCATAGAAAGAAGGATGTTGCAATTAATTGGAAATAATTTTAAATTATTGAAGATTAGACATTTACTTATCCAGTGAAATGTATGAATATTAAATAAAAAATGTGTAAAATAATTATATTATGATGTGTAAATATTGAGGTTTGACTATGGAATTGTAATTTCAATTTAATTATCACTTTAATGTGGAAATGGTATTTAACCCTTAGTTACTCGCACTGGCACACTACGCAACTGGGTATGTTATCACCGTAGATGTCAGATAACATCAGCGCGCCATTGACATTTGACCTAACACCGCAGAAAGTATTCAGCAGCATCCTTGATAGGGATGTTCGATTCCTGTAAAAGAATCTATTCCAGAATTAAAACGTTGTTGTCTAATCTAATCAAAAGGAAAGATTCAAATTCCTAAGGAATTGAATCAACCAGGAAGTTTATGGCTGCCTTAACATCAGCAATATAGATCTTCTGAGCATTATAAGGGAGTGCCATCTCGAACGTTAAAGCACTATCGATTCGCTGATCATGTGCAGTTCAAGTTTCGCACCATCTTTGTGCTGCTGTGCATGCGCAGATCGGTAGTGATGACGCTGTGGCGTGCTGAAACTCCCTAACCGTTCAACGAAGGTAGCGATACCGGAATCCAACAATTGCTATTTAATGAAACGCAAGTGAAGTCACTGTTAACTTGTGAGAACCACATCAGTCGCATTTCACAATCGTAATAGTAATTGCTAATAGTTATTACTCGCATATTTTTCTTGAACGATGTCCTAGCTTCTCCCTTTCTGGCACAATAAACAGATGAGGGCAAAAGCTCGAAGTGGAGCACTGATGACATTCCAAACACATCTTAACTGGCGCAAAATAAAAACAATTTTATTTTGAAACAAGAACTTCTATCCGTCATTTTCTCCAAAAATCTAATGAAATGACCGAAGCATGTCTATCACAGAAGATACCTCAAACTTCTGAGAGAGAATGCAAATTATTGAGAACTTTTCGAAGGCGTGACTGATTGTCCAGAGATTGCCATTGCTTCATAAAATCTAATGGCCGGTTTCGTAACTAATACCCCCACTCTACCCGCATTTCTTCAATCCATCGTTCAAGAAAGGTTGCGCGAGTAATACTAGTGAGTGCTCAGTAGTTCACAATTGAAATTCTACAAGAAACAAGGTTTCTGTTTCTCAGAACTTACTAGTATTATACAATTGTAAATGAGCAGTATTTGGTTACAAGCCTACAGATACATGTAGGGTTGAACGATTTACGATTACAAGTGACAATATTTTTATATTTGTGCATTCATAATTATTTAGAATTAGGAGATGGCCGTTTTATCCTATTAGTGATAGTGAATTAGATAATGTTCAATGCCTCATGCTCTTGAATTTTCTCCAAAATTTACATTTTGTTGCTTCTGATTGCCATTGCGAAGAAATTTAAGAGTAAAATAATCATAAAAGAGGAAAGTAATCATAAAATACTAGATAAAAAACATAGACTTGATTTAAAGAAAGAAAAAAAAAAAAAAAAAAAAAACTAACGCGAGGCGGACACGAAAGAACCTAGGCAGACACTCGACTGAATTCTAAGGAACGCCAAAACGTGCATTTGACTTCAAATCATTTTATTGAGTCACATGTACAATTACAATTGTGTATGACGAGGTCTATATGATGGATGTGGAGGGAGTACAATTGCGCTCATCTTGAGTTCAGAGAGTGAAATTTTCTGTGCATAAGATAAACTAGGGACATTATCAGAATTGGCTCAAAGGACGAGGTAATATATTGCATTGTGGACATTCCACAAGGCATTCTCTTGTATCCACGTGTTGTAGTATCTTTGTGAAACATAACTTATGATTACTTGTGATTACTAGTACTAGAAACTTGTAATCTTTGTGAAACGGGCACGAGGTGTTAATGAATTAAATTTTAATAACAGTAATAATTAACCAGGTGTTCGAAAAATAAAGTAATAGAATGAATCAATGAAACAATATAATGATAGAACATAAATTAAATATATAATATATTATAACATCAACAATAGTATGAACTAATCAACGAAATTGTAATGGATTTCAAGAAGCAATCCAGAGGATTTTTTTAAAACTGAGATGCTAAAAATGTAATTTGAACGAAGAAGTTGGGTTTGAACGAAGCAAAAAGTGGAGACATAGTTGGAGGTAGGATTCAAACACATGGTTTTCTTTAAAATTAATAATAAAGTAATAGCTACATAACATGGCTACATTAGGCAAACGACAGAAACCCTGAAAATGCAAAAAAATCTCGGGTATATGCGTTTTTTTTTTAAATCGGAGGTTTTAATTTAATTCGATTCCAGCTTTTTGCTATAAATTCCAACAAGAAGCAGAAGCGAAGGAATCGAATACCGATTTCATGGGAATGGAAAGAAAAGAATCGAATTGATAGACTCGGAACGTCCCTCTTCTCGATATTCAGTTGCGTAAGGTTAGGGAGTTTGTGCTACCTCGAACATTAAAGCACTATCGACCATGGTGGGTGGGGAGCACGGAAACGAATCCGCTTCAATTGTATGGAGCATAAAACAAACCCCTTGTCTTCTTCCAGAAGGAAGAGGCGATGTTTTGAGAAAACGGATTTGAGTAGTTTTTTCCTTAGGGAATGGTACCATCCCTCCATACCTTCAGGTGGACCTGACCGCTCCTCCTTCCCTTAACCTATGTAAGGGAGTGGCAAATCACCATGACTTTGCGTCCGAAAGGAGGAGGAACTTCTGACTTTCTTCAAGAGACAGGACGTAAAGGAGGTGTTTAGGATGAGGAAGGAATATGGGAGAGAGATCCCTACTCCCACTCTGATCTTGACGTTCAATCTACTCTCTTCCAGACAGGATTACTTGTGATTTTTATAATCCCCACATACCCAACAGCGGTGCATGGCGTTAAGCCCCGTTTGCGCTAAGTGCGGCAAATCTACTCACGATCCGGATCCCTGTGCCTGCCCACTTCGCTGTGTTAACTGCGAAGGAGACCAAGCGTCCAACTCGTACAGCTGGCCTACGTATCTGAGGGAGAGGGAGATTCAAAAGATCAGAGTGACGGAGAAAGTCCCGAGGCAAAACGCCGATACTTCGTGATGTGGATCTCGGGCGTTCATTTCCCAGTACTTTGGCCAAGACGGCAAAAGGAATAGCTAGTTGTCGGACTTCCTCTGCTAATCCCTCAGTTGCTCATTTCTGTTGCCAGGTGTCTCCAGTAGACTTCCTTGAGGAGACATCACCTCCCTGCTGTCCAAAGAAATACGAAGGGCGATCAAAAAGTTCTCGGAATGGTGGTTCAACAAGATAATGTTATGGTCTATGGCAATGCTTACCTAATCACCTTCGAAGGTCGACACTTGCACACGCGACCACACACACACCACACACACACACACCACACACACACACACCACACACACACACACACTCTCTCTCTCACACTCACTCCCACTCTCACACTCCCACTCTCACACTCTCACTCTCGCACTCACACTCGCACTCTCACACTCGCACTCTCACACTCGCACTCTCACACTCGCACTCTCACACTCGCACTCACACTCGCACTCTCACACTCGCACTCTCACACTCGCACTCTCACTCTCGCACTCTCACTCTCACACTCTCTCTCACACTCGCACTCTCACACTCGCACTCTCACACTCTCGCACGCGCACTCGCACTTCGCTCTCGCACTCTCACACTCGCACTCTCACACTCGCACTCTCTCTCACTCGCACTCTCTCACTCGCACTCTCTCTCACTCGCACTCTCTCACACTCGCACTCTCTCTCACTCGCACTCTCTCACACTCGCACTCTCTCACACACACACACACACTGTGTTCCATTGATCCTGCCATTGTGGGAAGCTGCGGTAGAATACTTCTTTTGGAATGTGTTGGAGACGAGCCGTTGCATTCGATTTGATGTCCTCTACGGTTACAAAACGTCTCCCTTTGAGGCCCATTTTCAGAGTATGGAACTGCCAAAAATCACTGCTGGGGCGAGATCTGGAGAGGCACTACAGGAATGTTCTCGGCGAGAAATTTCTGCACAACAAGCAATGTGTGGCTTGGTGCGTTATCGTGATGCAGAAACCACTGTCTTCGCCACTTGTCCCGTCGCTTCCTTCGAACCGCTTCGCGTAACCTCTGCAAAACTTGCACATACAAAAGGCCAGCAACAAACTGTCCAGGCGGTACAAACTCATAGTGCACCAAACCATCAATGTCAAAGAATGCAATGAGCATCACTATCATTGGATCCAATGAGCTTTTATTAACTAAATATTTTAAGAAACTGAAAAGCTTTGTAAATATTTTTATGAATTAATATTAATTATTTATAGTTATAATTGAATTCGTAATTGCATTTTATTTTATGTTTATGTTATTGATTTGAGATGCTATAATTATTGTGTTCTTAATTTTTGTAGAGCATTGCAGCATTTGGTGTAGCTGTGGAGAACACGCTTATTAAATATGGGCGTGGAGTTGTAGAAGAGCAATTTGTTCTTAACCGGTTAGCTAATTCTGCAATAGACATCTATGCCATGATGGTTGTTTTGTCTCGCGCATCAAGATCTTTGAAACTTGGCCTCCCATCCAGTAAACACGAACAAATGATGGTTGAAGTTTGGTGCAATGAGGTAAGCATTCTAGAAATTCTTGTGGAATATTGGGGTCTGTATACAAAAATGTTATTTTCTTTTTAAATTTGTATTTATTAATTTATTGTATTTGAATAGGCACATCATCGTGTGAACCGCAATCTAGAAACAATCGCTTCAAGTGAGGGTCTTGATAACTTCAAGAATCTAGCTGCAATTTCTAAGAATATTTGTGAAGCAGGTGCGATCCCTACCAACAATCCTCTTAATTTATAAAAGTGCAGAAAATCAATTAATAAATTTCACTAGAAACCAAATGACACAAATATATTACAAGTCTTGAATTAAATTTCCATCATCTTTTGGCTCTAGTAATATGCTGTTGTGGGAAATTTGTTAACAAATTTTGAAAGCACAAATATGGGCAGGTACCAAGGTGTGTTGTATTTAAATTTCCTGTTACTATTTATAATCTTTCTTTTTTATGTTTCCCTATTTTGAGATTTTTAATTTATTAATCAGTATTCCTTTCTGTGAATTATTTTTTATAAAAGAGGTGAAACCCAATGTTTCTGCAGCAGTACTGAAATATATTGCACCTTCTTAATGTGTGTTTAAAATGTATTTCTATTTTCATACTGAAGATATATAAATAAATATTTCACCCTGTAATTTATGTAAAGAATGTAAATATTATAAGCATATTTTTTCTGAGTGTAGTGTCTCCTTTAGCCCTTTCTTTCATTTTCATAAAAATCATCGTCTCTTTTAAAAAATAAAAAACACATTGAGAAATTTGTTGAATACTTAGATTAGATGCATTTTAACTGAGATTTAACGAGAACTTCTTCGGTATTTTACCATGTAAGAAAGCATCTTTTCCCTAGAATTTCTTTCCATGTTAAGTTTCATGTCTCACACCAAAACTAATGTACAGCATTGTGGCCAGTGAACCTGAAATCCTTGAAAACCAGGAAAAAATGGGAATTTCAAGAAGTCTGGAAGAAATGGGGGGGGGAGAACTGGATTTTATTCTCACACAGGGTTATTTTTGCAGACTTTTGCCAACTTTCACATATTGAATGTATATCTCGCCATATTAATAAGGCCTATTATTATTATTATTATTATTATTATTATTATTATTATTATTACTATTATTATTATCTTATTCAGTAATGCACAATTCAATTTAGTACATCATTAGTATTAAGTAGTTAGCAAGTATTAAAAATAGGGAATGTAAGAAAAGTCATGTTTTCTTTGGAATACTTGGTCATTCCTCCTCTCTTAGGTCAGAACTTCATTACATGGGTAGGTACCAGTAGTGGGTCCTTGGGGTTGGCACTGCCTGATGAATATGTATTTGTTTAATTCATTTCATAATTAAAAAAAAGACTTATTTCAATATGGTGTAAGAAGTATTCTTCCGGAGATATATTATGAACATTTCATTATTGTGACACAAACCATTTTTCCATTTCAAACCATCAAGATGGGTCGGCCCACATCATGACAATGCAGGGTGAGCTCTCAAGTATTCCTATCTTGCACCAGTTATCTTTCTTCTCCTCATCGTTTGTTCTTGTTCTTTTATACCATCCTGACTCCCCTTCCCTTCAATTTCACTACCCCTCCTGTGTATGTTGAATGCCCACCCATGTGTTTGCCCTGCATTGCGATCTTTGTCGGAAGAAACGTGTGTCATGACGGTTGAGGGTGTTTGTTGCTCAACTTGATATGTTCTGCTTTGCACCTAGGGATATATTATTTACGTATTTGGGGGAACATTCTTTGTAGTCTTAAATACACTTGCTTTGCCCTCGGATTCTTCTAGACGGGTATTCGGGAGCTAACCCACTCCTGGTCAATCGGCTCGGACGTGGTCTTGTACTGGACTCCAGGGTGAGCGGAGGTGTGGTGGAGCAGTGCTGTGACTTTCCCCACTATATCCCCCTGTCAGCCCTGGCACCACAGCGAGGTGTCCCCGTGTGGGGACTCCATGGGCCGGTTTCACCAAACGGAATCAAGATGATTATCCCAAGTTGATCCGGATCAACTTCAGTTTGATTCCGTTGTACGTTTCTCCACGCACTTGACACGAATCAACGTGTCTGACTCGGATCAAATTTGACTCGCAATTGATCCGTCGCGGAGCGGTGGATCACAGCCAGATCAGGAGTTATTTCTCGTCTCTGTTGTTTAGCTATTACAGTTTTCCGTATTTTTAAGCAAATACCTGTAGTTGGACTTAAGATTCAATATGGAAGTATTCGCTAAGTACGATTGCGCGCCATATTTGTTGAGCAAATGTGTTTTTTAAGATAGTATTGTAAATAAAAGTAGAGTTAACGCAATTGTAGGTTAGAATTCTCGGTATTGGAAAGTAAACTTTAAATATATTTTGGCTTCAAATTAGTGTAATTATAAGTATCATTAGTAAAAAAGCATTCTGTGATATCTGTATTGCAATTTGCGTGGGACAGTTTTATTGAATACTTTTTTTTGTGCAGTAATACTTTCAATTTTTGTTCTTGTTAGGGTAATTTGTGTCTTTAAAATGGAGTATGTTTTCGAATGTGACTCAATAAATATTATTATTATTATTATTAATGAAGTCATTGAAGATTTATTGTGGGGAGAGACACCACGAGTAATTCCCAAAAGAAGCGATTATTTTGAAATGTCAGAACGAGCATTAACTTTCTTTGTATTTGCTCATTAAGCTTTCGAGTAATTCTCTTTCAACTGGAGAGAAATTGGGCGTAGTCTATGCATTCATTGCTCAAGGTTATGCGAGGGTATCAGAAAGTCATAGTACTTGAGTGACGCATTGTGGGTTGACGTGCCGAACTGTGCCGCGTTGTGCGTTTAAAGAGTCAGCAAGCAGTCTGATTGCCGCCATTAGACAGTGAGGCGGTGTGAATTTTTAGGAGTTTCACAACAAATTTAATGCGAAAACCATAAAACTCGAACATTAGATGAAACTTATGAAAGAGAAACTCAGAAGATGAGAAAGAAGAAAGTTTAATATTCATTTATTGGTTATTTCTTCCATAAATACGTTACATGTCAATTTGTTTTAATAATCATAATAAAACCGTGCAGTTTTTACTTTAATTACTTCTTTATTTACTTCCATTAATTTACTAGTTTCAGAACGGAAATGCCAATATCACAAGTGTCGTAAATTGGACAAGTCTTTATAAAACGGACACATCCTTTTTGTCCCAATTGAATCCGGCTTAAACATGTATATATAATCTCAAGGGGCAGGATCTTTTGGGGTATGAGAAAGATTTACTTCTTGACACACAGTTAGGTAAAAACAATGCGTATATTCTCCAGAATATGACACACATCAGCACTGACAAAGAACACAAAAATCCCAACTATCAAATTGCACACACAAACGCGAAAATAGCAACTTTACATAACAATAAAAGGCGAACAGCGCCAAATTAAACAAATAACATTTTAATACGTGGCAGAGGGCCATGGACTTCAAGAGAACCTGTCCAAAAATTACATTATAAATACGTGACAAAATGGCCACGGGCTTGAGCGCAATAGGCTGTCAGCTCAGACAGCAAAACAAGTTACGTAGTGACGCACCAAACGCTGAAGCGAGGAGCTCGTTTATATACGGAAAAAATACAGTATCAATCCGCAGTTCTACATTGTACGGTGGAATTGATGGGTTGCTAACGCAATCTGAGAGATTGGTAGCTTACAAAATAAATGACAGAAAATGAGTGACATACCCAAACTCTAGTAGTAGTTTAGTAAACTGTAGTGATTACAGAGTTGTACAGAAATAAATTCATTTTTACCAAAAAATAAATACAAAGAGATATGTCTTAAATTTGCAGTGAATACTGAGCTAGAATTAATTACTGAATACTTTTGGATATGTAGACGACATAAAGGTCTAATTTAAGTATAATAAATAAATTACCACTTGAAAAGTAAATATTCAGTATAAATAATACTTAGAATCTGTATAAAATAAAAATACCTGTAGACACCTCATATTTCAGGCATTTCAATATTATAATCAATCTAGCTGATAAATGATTAATTACAATGATACAAAGTATGTCAATAATATACACAAGAAAAATTATTAAAATTCAGCCTGAAATATGACATGCAAATTAACAATCGCAGCATTTCTGCTGCTGCTGCGCAAGTCTCTGTCGGCTCCTAATCGTTTCACAAAATTTCTGTTACCTTTGACGGGCGCTCACTGCGTAGCTTGCAAACTGTTTGGGAGTTGCCGTCGTTTGACCTTGGCCCTCTTCAGACTGCACGGTAGCTTCGCTTCCTCGCAGACCAGCCGTCTGAGATGTCGCTCGAAAACGCTTTCTTCCCTCTCTCCTTCCACCAGATCCACATCCAATCTTGTTTTGTCTCGCCTTTTGACCATGCCCAGAACCGGCATTCTCGCTTTTTCTTTCTTCGCCCCTCTTCATATGCGGCAGGCCGACGCGTATTTCAGTCCTCACACGTGTTTGCTAACGGCGTTTCGGGTTTCTGGCGTTCTTTACAAACCCTCTTAATCATATAGATAACTTCACAGTGCTACTGACGCCTTTCAACAGCTCACAGTTCTCGCTTTCGCGGCCCCTATTGTGCCTCGTATTAGCTACTCCACTACTCTTCACAGTCTTTATGCAATATCACACTTCGCCTAATTAATCACAATTCTGAAGGCTGAATCTTCCTCTATCCTATTCTTTCGCCTTGTTAATCACCTACTTTCTACAAAATTGCGTCTGAGAATCCTCACATCTAGCTCTCTACGTACGACCGAACTCTTCGACGTCAAGTACAAAAGAAAACTGCCCTCTAATTACCACCGCCCTGGCTGACCGCACTGGACCTCTCACCTCCACGTCTGGTACAGAAAGAAGTTCTTATTTACGCTGTCCCATGACAAGATGTCGACTCCGCCCCCTTTCTTTTGTGTGCGCGGCCTAGCTAGTACACTTTTGGCTTGTGCAGTAATAAGGAGCAATATGACCGTACTGGAATAATTCAGAGTCCTTCTGAGCGAATCTTGGCAATATAAGGGTTACTGCCGATGCGATCGTTGTCGTTGCAGGAATATCAGAGATGCGTTCCCCATCGTCGCTGGAATATCAGAGAGCTCCCGAAGCGTGTATCGCACACTTGTTCTCGTCGAGTGTAGCTGACATTTACTGATGTTCTGATCAATGGGGTGTAGTTTCGTGTGAAGACTGCTCCACGTGGTCTGTCATTCTGTGAGAATGCACTTCGAGGCAGCATTTCTTCCGTCTTGAGGTCGTATTTCAATATCCATTTCTGATTGGATATTCACGGCATTTCGTGCTGCAGAATCGGCTTCGTCATTGCCTAGGATACCCACGTGTCCAGGGCACCAGATGAACGTAACTGATGCTCCTCGCTGCTCTAATTTATGGCATGATATGAGAATAATTTATAGCAGTGGGTCTACAGATTGGCGTCTGTCTATTGTAATGAGAAGATTTAGCGAGTATGCAGATGACGAATTTTCTTGAACTAAGAATTTCACAGTGTCGCAAAGATTGCAATACTGCATACAATTCGGCAATGTATACACTTTCTTCTGGTGGAAGTGTCCATGTTTTTGATAAGTCTTCCGTTACAAATGCACTTCCATCCCGATGTTTTGTTTTTGAACCATCTGTGTAGTTTGTGTGATTTGCCATGTATTCTTCGAGAACTGATCGAAATCTGACTTTTAAATCTATAGAAAGACATTCTTTTTTCTTTGCATTGGTACTGTGGAGTCTAACTTCTGGCATTTTCAACATCCAAACTGGAATTTCATGTGGTTCGTGTTTCAAAAGTGGTGGTAGGACGATGTTGTAGCATTTGGCTATCTCGATTGCGCGGATGTTGGCTGGGCGAGTAGCTGAAGGTTTTTGATCGTAAATATTTACTAGCTTAGGTCGAGTCATCAATGAATGGTTTAAATGTTTCGGTAGAGACAGCAATTTTGATCTATAGTTGAGTAGCATTGTTTGTCATCTGTGATGTAGCGACGTGGTGCTGATTTCACAGTAGAAGCTTGAGGAAGGACTAGTGCGGAACGCGCCAGACGCATATCGGAGGCCTGCATTGTGAACGGGATCTAGTTTCCTTAAACTTGATTTTCTGATTGTCTTGTTTCAAACTGCACATCCATAATCTAATTTGGACATCACCATGGATTTGTACTGGCAGAGTAAGATGTCTCTATCTGCTCCCCAATGTATGTGGGAAATGCATCTTATTACGTTGAGAGCTATTTTGCATCTACACAAGGTATATTCTATATGCCGTTGCCATGTTAAATGCCTATCAAAAATCAAACCAAGGAATTTTGCCGTTTTATTGTATGTCAGTTGAACACCATTCAGTGTCAGCTCTGGATCTCTGTAACTTTTTCTTTTCCTACAGAAGTGAACGCATTTCGTTTTGGCTGCTGGAAATGAGAAACCAATGTTTTTTTGCGTTCTGTACTAATTTATTGATGGCATTTTGCATTTTGAATTTGATCATTCCCAGTGATTTGGCTGAGTAAAATTTAGCAATGTCATCTACATACATGCATTTTCCAATTGACGCTTCTATGCCAAAAACATCTCGTTGATCGCTATGATAAAGAGCGTACCACTCAATGGAGAGTCTTGCGGTACACCATTCTCTAGTACGTAGCTTTCTGTGATGGACTGTCTAACGCGAACTTGGAAAGATCTGGCACTAAGGAAGCTGCATATGAATTTTGGGTATATTTCCTCTGATTTGCCAGTTATATAGCTGTCTCAGAATATTATATCGCCAGGTCTTATCAAAAGCTTTTTCCAGGTCAAAAAATATGGTAACCATATATTTTCTTTTGATGAAGGTATTCTGAATTGCGTTTTCCAGATATATTAGCTGGCTGATTGTAGAGTGATGTCTGTATCCATATCCAGCAAAATGTTTCCTAAATTCTCTTCACAGTTCTCCCCTCCACTGTTTAAAAAATTATTGCAAAGTAATTTCTTAAATGATCTCACAAAGCCAACAGATGTTAGGTTAATGCAGTTACCTCCTTCTTGCCTGATTTCCCCCCCAAAAAATTCCAAAGCATCCTGATTTGGCTTTCTATTTGCAAGAGAAGTAATTCCCTTTGCACTTACAAAGGACCACAATTCTTTAACTGACGATATAATTATTTTCCAACAAGTTGAAAATTTCATCAAATTAGTGATGTCTTGTCCTTCTTCATTATAAACTTTTAATTGGTCAAATAATGAATAACAATCATTGAGAAATTGTAATTGATATGGCTCACCTTTAAAAACTCTAGCAAAAATTTTCTATTTTTGTTACCATTCAGATGAATTAAGTGTAGCAAACAGCTTATCCATTTTCAACATACTCCACATTTTCAAATGCATCAGCAGGAAGCCTATTAAAATGGATGTACATAGTCATTCCAGCTGCTACATGCGCTAAATAATTAGGTTGTATACCAGGTTTTCATTCTCTCAAACGCGTTTGGATTTATGTGGCAATTAGTTAATTTTGGTGCAAGACGATTGTGGAACTGGGAGTCGGGACTATAAAATTTACAAACATAGTTTTTGTTTGTGTCACTGTTTTCAAAAGAAAGAGTGTTTCAGAAACATGTTTCTGGTTGCTTTAAGTAAATGAGGGGTGTCAAAAAAATGTCACCAGCAATCATTACATATGGGCCATTAGGTGTGACTTGCATGTATTCAGACAGTTTTTACATTTGTGCTAGCCATATCACACACTATTGCTAGTACACTGATACCAACATGTTTCAATTTCAGTATACGTTGAATTAAAATTTCATGAAGAGTCATGAAGGGTATTGCAGATTTCGATAATACATATGCAATAGGTTGTTTCCAATTGCTAAATACTCCACAAATGAAAAAAAAAACACATGAATTTTTTGCTGGTTCCATTATCTTTGTTTCTCCATTTGTGTCATGAAGACCAATTACCTCATCTCTTTTAATCTCATGAAATAAAAGACTTCTAATGCCATTTCATCGAAGCATGTAATGCAAAATTTGTCCCTTTCGCTCATGCATGTTGTCTTCAGGGCCAGGAATGAAAAAATATTTTCATTTATGCCACATTTAAGATGCACAGATCTCATCACTCTGTTTAGGGTTATCCTTGAAGGTAATGCAAAAACAGAAGCTAGTGACCTGTACATTCATGGACCTTTAATATGCAGCATAAAACTTAGCTTTTTAAATTCCGGTGAACATCTTGGCCCTTGTGAAGTTTTGTTGTGTTGTATAACCTGCTGTTTAACAAACATTGCTGCCTGTTGTGGTAAGAAATTGTCATAAACTGTTTACTATTAATATCCTGCAACGGATCAGCAAGTTGACTGTTTATACTGAAGAGTTTCCTTTTTAATTTGCGGTTTTCCTTCAGTAATTTTGCTTTCCTGGGTGTGTAAGCACTTAAAACTTGTTTTGTTTGAACACTTTGATCAAAGTTATGGCTATATGATGGCATATTTTCAAAGTTATCATCTTGAAATTGTAAAACATAATTTTAAAAAAATTTCGGATACTGTTAAAAATTGCAAAAATCATTTCCGTTCTTTTCTCATCATGAATTATTTACCTCAAAAGATGTAGATTTTTCTGTGTCTGTACTGAATGTGCCACAACTTTGGTCCATGGTATTCTAAAAATGAAGAGGGATTTTTTTACTTTTGTGTTCTACAAAATTTGTCATTATAACTAGTTATAATATTGTGTATATTTCATAATATATTGTAAGCTCATCACAACAAAGTGCTGAAATATTTACCTGTGAAGACTTTGATTTATCAGTGTATGCTATAGAAACAGCAAAACTTTCATTTTATAAATTCTGAAAAGACATTGCTGCAGGTTTTATTAATGCTGAAAGTTTTGAATAGCTAAAACAAAAATAGCTTGAAATAATTTGAATAGGTTTTTATTTTAACATTTTACTAAGTGAAATATTTACCTCATTTTGAAGATTCAACCTCGACCATGGAAAAGTCAATACTTTCATTCATTGCATTCTAAAAAGTTAAAGAACATGAAGTATTTTTAAAATATAAATATTTAATTTTTCTTTGTTCATGTCTATTTGTATATGTTGCAAATAATATGCATTTAACAAAATGTTAAAATCTTACCTCTGAAGATTCAAAGTTAGCCTCAATAATGGACATGTTGATACTTTCATTCATTGTATTCTAAAAAGATAAAAGTACGTTAATTAATTTTGGTACTTAAATAATTGTAATTTGTGTAAGTTATACCAATTTGCTTTGTATTATTATATTTCAGGTATATCACATACAATTTGCATTTAATCATAAACAACATACATATGAGTACACACACAGAGGTCAAGTGTTTACCTTGGTAGATTTTGAGTAATCAGTCTGCTCAGTGAAAGCATTAAAAGTTTCGTCCAGCACATTCTAGACTTTATTTAAAATTTGTATTTTTATTTGTATTTAGTATAACCTCGCCTAAGTACTTGTGTTATTTATTATGTTCTATATGTTTAAAAGTATTGTAATTATATTATTTCCAACTGATAATTTCGTATGGGATTGGACAAGTTTTGTAATATATCCATTGCTTGCAATGCCTAGGTATTTAAAATGTCTCATTTTCAAATATACAAAATTCATTATTGTTTGCATTTCTAGAATAGGTACACTCTCATTAGTGTATGGTGAAATGTACTTAAATTAATTTGCTTAGGTGTACGAGTTATGTTTGCATTCTGGAGGTGATATTTGAGAAGCCGTATGTTTTGAGAAGATAACTGGCAAGATATAAACGAATTTGACTTTACCAATATTAGAAGATAGAATTGTATCAACAGTGTTTCCTACAAGCCCAGCCCTCTTGTCTTCTCAGAGAACATTCCCAGAAAATCTTATTACAAAGTGTGCCAGTGAAATCTTTTTCCCCTTGAAGCTGCAAGTGCTGCTAATCTCGATAATATTGTACATCGATGTATTATTTCATATGCATATGTATATATATGTATATATATATTTATATATGTATATATATATATGTATATTATATGTATATATATATTATATGTATATATATATGTATATATATATATAGTGTATTTATGTATATATATATAGTATTTTATATATGTATATATATATATGTATAATATATATATATGTATATATATATCTGTATATATATATATATGTATAGTTATATATATGTATATTATATGTTGTATATATATATGTATGTTATATATATGTAATATATATATATGTAAATATGTATATATATGTATATATATATATATGTATATATATATTATGTATATATATATTGGTATATATGTTATATATAATTATATATAATTATGTATTTATATGTATATATGTATTATTAACTTGTATTATATTAGCTAATTATGTATATATGAAATTGTTATCGTAAATATAATATATGTAATGGATTATCAATATTATATACGCTCAGTCTAATATAAAATATATATGTTATCATAGATTTTACTACCTAATGTATATCTATATATTATTTTAGACTTTTACTTTATCTTATTTCCATATCTGTAATAAATCCTTATTAATCATTATATTGTTTATTCATGTTCTTAAGTCAATTATATGGTATTTTAATAACTTATAATACCTGTTATAGGACGTGGAAAGTAGGAGTTGTAATAGATTTTTATTTATTTATGAATCTAAAAGTTTCCCCGCTCGTCGCTGGTATCATTTATCTAAAATTTACCGGTTTGACTTTATTATTATAATCTTCGCTTAAATTTTGTGGATTACTTATTGTTATCACGTTCACCGTCTTTTAATTAAAGAAATTATTTTAAGCAGTAAACAAATGTTATGCGTAACGGCAATGGCTCACTTAGGCAGTTTTGGTTAAGCATATGTATTTAGGACCTTTTTTTCCTTTTTATTAACATTTTGAGTGGGTTCCGTTCCTCGTGAATTGTGTGTCTCCTTTTTGGATATAGAGAGTTGCGGGCCCCTGGTTGAAAGCAAAGGCGGTCAGATTACTGGTTCTTACGTATATTGTTATATACATATAGTATTCATGGATTAGTGGTTATAATATTATTGTTTCTATGTCATATACTCTTGTACTATTTGTTTATTTAATGGTATAGTATATGTAAATAATATGGTAATAGTATGTCATCATATACTATTATTGTTGTATGGTTGTATAATTATATGTATGGGTTGTATATATATATATAGTGGTGATGTATAGATATTCGTGATTATGTATGTATTTATACGGAGTATAATATATATAATATTTATGATTATAATATATATATTATATATATATATATTAATATATACTGTATGTATGTTATTATATATATTATGTATGGTTATATAATGTATGTAGTAGAATGAAGTATAGTTTGTATGTATATATATATATAGTATGTATATATATATATATATATATATATATATATATTATTATATATTATATTAATATATATATATATGGTTATGTATGGTTATCTATATGTGTGTTTATATTATATGGTGTGTATACTATAATGGTGTAATATATATATGCTGGTATATGGGTAAATATATATAATGGTATGATATTTTATAATTACTTCATATAAACACATGGGATATACCTTTTATATATGAATCATGTCCATAGTTATATTCACCGGACCCCAAAATTAGCCCCCATTGGGGGAAACTTCCCATCATTCTCCCCCATCCTACCCAGCAAGGCTATAAGGCATGTTTCTGGGGGTTAACGCTGGCCTAGGGTATCACAAAGAATAATATTAATTTTTTTAGGGAAGTTTACTCAATTTTCCATGTTCCTTTATCACACCTGTCTCCATTGTTTCGGAGGAGCCTTTGGGTATTCTTGGTTCTTAATAAATTCGCAGATTTCTAGTTATTCAACTTTCTATGTGGTTTTTTTTTGTCTTTTTCGTTGTTTCTCTGTGGTACAATTCATGAAGAAATCCAAAATGATGGTGTTTCAGGTCACGATGTAAGATACATTGAAGATTTTTATTTAACAATTGTATCAATAATTGAAGCAGGTATCAAACTTCCTAAGTTGAAAAATGGATCTTCGTTTTGTTACTGATAATGATTTACGAAAATGAGACATTTATATCATTTCCCCCCGTTCTTCTCTACTGTATTCAGTTAATATCACATAAATTGTTATATGTAAGGAAGAATTATTTAATGGTCTGGCAGATCATTTATTGAGCTATTGTACAATTTTCTTCTATAAAAATATTCTTCTATAGAAGCTGAATTTGAAAAGGTTTCACCACTTATAATGAAAGTAATTTTTGATTAATTTTATTAGTACATCAATTTTATGAATTTTATAATATTCATACATAATTTACCGAGTAAATCTTGGGCGATAATGTTTTTTTCAACCATCGTTCAGCATCTTGATTTTTGGGAGCCTTAATGAAAGGGCATCCAAGAGGTTGAGCACCTCTTCGGACATTAATCTGCAATAATACATTAATTCTTTGTAGTAAATGATTGACAAGCTGATAATACACAATGGATATCATTACAAACGCCCACAACCAGCACACATCGACAACTTTCTTTTGAAAATGCGGCCAAAACGCAACACCTGCGCTTTCACACCAGGTTGTGCTGAGGACTAAACTTAAGTCCATCTTAACATTGAGTGACCAGCGCTGTCACTCTGTCTACCGGTCGGGGGCTGTGTATCATAAGAGTGGAGATATAGTCCTCCTCATGGGTGTGGTGTCACAAAACGCCTAGCCGGAATCTCATCAATATTGGAATAAAGCATGCGCTAGTCGGATGCAGGTGTGGATGCAGGTGCCGGTCAAATCGCCACTTTGCACAATAAAAATGGGTCAAGAAATACAAACAATTTTATTATGAGCGATTAATGAAATAATTACACAATAAGTAAATACTATGTGTTTCTCTTCTAAATTTCATTTATTCATAATAATACACGCATGAAAGAAAAGGTAGACGCGAACAGCGGGCGATTTTTTGTATCAAGCCAAGAGTGTTAGCGTCGGAGAGAATCACACGCACGTTTAAAACAACGTTGAGTATTTAGATTTTAGTCATGAGAAGAAACGTGATGCTCTAGAGCGCGCTACTGTAATGGTCCCGCCCACAACCGGTTTATGGGAAGGGTAGGGCCCTGAATATACTCTGCTGTGTGGAACTGTTGCAGTGGTGTGACACTGATCGGGCACATCCGGTCCTATTGATCAAATTCCATACGGTAGCATAGAGTTCAGAGGACGCATATACATCTGTACAACACCAATCGCTCAAGCGGAAATATTAATGAACTACTTTTTCATTTTGAATTTTTTCGCAAACAGCCGGTTGTGTTAACGTTGGATGTCCTTCTCGTCGATCTATGGTTGTATATATCAGCGTTCGTAGGCTTTAACATATTGCAGTCGTTGAATGAGAAATGAAGAGATAACTGCTGTTTGAAGTCTGAAGCTCCGGAGAAGAGATTGGTGCGTACAATATGTGGAATTTTTTTAATGTTCAGTTGCCAGATACCTTGTGATGTCAAGCGAGGTGACACCACTGCAGTATGGTGTAATGAAAGATTTTTTAAATAGAATTACTAGAAATAGTATTAATAGAATCATTTTTTATAGTTTTAATAGAATATATAGTTGATGGAAGGCTATTTACAGCATTTTTTAATTTTCAGATCTTGGTCGGCAGCTTTTCAAACTGAAAATGCGTAAGTCCTTGTATGTTTGTAAAATGCAAAAAGCTGCTACTTGAAGCATAATGTATTGGACATAATTCTGTGTTCATTAATACAGGTCTAGTGCTGTGAAATGCTGCTACAGCAGTGCAGCAGATGCTTATTCAGCTCTTGTGAAAGGTAATATCTTTGCTTTAATCTTTAAGAATCCATTATTATTTGTTGGCATTTTATTGACAGATTTCAAGTTGTCTCCCATTTCAGATTTTTCACCCATTAGAAGGTGTCACCCTCAGTTTTTGTGGAGTTTCTCCATGGTATTTTCCTTTTCAATATTGACAGTATTAGTGCCAATTGAGGGAAATATAGTAATAATAAAACTCTCTTTCATTTTGGTGATACAGATCTTGTACTCTGGACAGGTGCAAAGTACCTTGGGAGATTTGCACCTACTGTGTGGTAAGTGCACGATATCTCTGTGCTTTCTAATTCGTTATTCTAATAATGAAGTTAACAGAAAACATTTTCTTTTTGATACAGTTGTTTCAGAACATTCAATTGAGAATAGTATCTTCTTAACATATATTTTGCTTTTCAGATCCTCACTTCCAGGATGCATTTGAGCATGCATGTCTTGCTAAGTGGGCTTTAATTAATGTTCATTTGAGAGTTCAGAACTCAGAGAATAATCAAAGAATTGATTGTTATGTGCGTGAATAACTGCTTCATTGGCACAAATTTTTAACATATTTTCTTACGCCTGATCAGTTATAAGGTATAACACAGAGAGTTTTTCAATCAGTGTGTATTCTGTCATTGGGTGACAGATCCATAAATAAACTGTATTTCCACATCTATTTGGAAAGTTCACATTAAATAATTTAAAGATAAAATTAATCCGTAAAGCCATAATCATTTCTCATTTTGGAATGCCTCTTGCTATGTCAGACACTGATTTAATATTATGAATGACAAAGGTTTGAGTTCTGTTTCAGAGGCTATTTTATGCCAATTTTTAGAATTTTCTTAATGTTCCTATATCTAGCTGCAATTTGTTTCTTTCCTTTATAATATTGATAATAATTGCTTATGTATTGTTACTAACTTCTTGAAATACGTTTCTCAATGTCAACACAATTTCATATCATTTATATTCTACTATTGTGATCATTGTGGTTTTGTTCGTCATCGAATACTTCTGGATTTGAATGCTATCCTTCATTTAGATGTGAATTGTTGGAGCGTGAAGCAATGCTTGATTCTAATAGCTCAGTTATTAGCGACATTGCCGCAATATCAGAAGGTCAGGTTGCCCTGGTGCAATAAATATTTGCACATTTGAACAGTCCCCTTTCAATATAATTAATAGTAAATGTGCATAATTGAGGAATTCACTATTGTTAATCATTGTTTTAAAGGTGATATACTTTCACTGTGGATTCCATTTCAAAAAGCCGCTGCCTGAACTGTGCCATGTGGTGAGATTAGCATGGTAAATAAAATATGTCAAATATTTTGACTATGAAAAACATTTTAGGTTGCAATAGTAAAGCGGTTCTTTCCAGGCATGCAGAGCTGCGTAAACTCAATTTTTTGCACTATATGGCGAAAGGGCATGCTCAAATTTTCTGATAAAACTTGAAAGCACAAAGAAACTAATACGTTCGCGTAGACAATTAATAAAAAATAAATGTCGCTTTTAACCCTTGTACATACACTATGTTCTTTTACCTGTTGCAATTTTGCGGTAGTATTTTCATTTGTTTCTTCATTCTGTTATTGTTTTCATACATGCTTGTAAATAAGTAGTATACCATAGTATTATATTTGCATAATCTCAAGCAAATACTAACGTTTGCAATTATGCAGATGTCGTTTATTCCTAAGAATACGAAATTGTTAATATCAAAAAGCACTCATAATGATAGATTGTTACTACCTAAATTTGACTTTTTCTTCCATAAATTCCTTATAATTATTATGATGAATTTTTTTAATACTTAAGCGTGGAAGTAGGAGTGAAAATTTTAAAGGTTCCCCGCTCGCTGGTTCATTTCAATTACGGTTACTTTTCGCTATGGTGTCCGTTCAGCTCAATAGATAAATTATACAGAACAATGTTGGCGGCACCGGAGTTGGGCAAATAAGGCTTTTCCTTTTAACATTGAGTGCCGTCTCTGATATATACTCTTTGATAGAGAGTTGCCGGGCCCTGGTGAAGCCAAAGGACTCAGCACGGTTGTGGAGAGAGGATAGGACTTGGGGTCAGGTATTTACGGAGCTGTTGCTTTGTTGTAGGTGCTTAATTTGTGTGTGGTGTTTACAGGAGTAGTGTTTCGGTCCTTACGCAGCATTAATTCTTTGAATTGTAAGTAAATATTCTGAATTTCCTATTGCGATTTTGTTTTATACATGTGCACGTGGTACTTTGTTTTCGATACCACGTGTGTCTCATTTTCTTATCTTATGTATCTGTAATTATATTAATAATATAAAGTATTGCTTCACTTATAAATTGCATGTTGCACAAGCGTTTAAGTAGTGGCGTATGAAATCCGGCTTTAGAATCATTCAGGCATTTCATATGTGGAAAAACATTCGTAAGTGGTGATGCTGTGAAAGAAACTAGTATAAAACTAAACTTATTAAACTAATCAGTGTTTGTTTTCAATGAAATGAAAAGTGTGCAAATGAATGAGAACTATTTTTTTCTATTAGTGTATACCAATGTTGGTTATTAATGATGTCTTACTTATTTTCTTCCATTTAAGAAAAACAATTCATCATTGCCATTAGTCGGTTTGTTAAATCAAAGATTTTTACAAGGGAAAACAACTTCTGATGGAGAGACTTTTTCTCTGTAGTAGAATTCTCATATATTGTGTATTGGGTATATTATATCGTGTTTCTTTTTGAAGTTGTGAAAAAGCGCAAACCATGAATTAATTGTAAGTTTAGATCTTCGATGATAATAGAAGTTCATTTAAATCAGAGGCTAGGTTCTTTTTGGTTAAGTAAAATTCACGTGTATTCTTCGTATCGTGTGGTCCAAGTTGCATGTCACTGTGTTAACATTATGGTTGCACTTGCACAGCAGAATAGTTGCACCTCGAAATAAGTATTATGAAGAAAACTAATTTAACATAAACAAGATTGGCGTTCTACTCTTGTAATTTGGTTAAAGTTCAGTATACGGTACGCCCTTAGAGAATCGTGGCGGCGGGGCTAAAGTTCTAATTACTGTACGTGCTCTAATAGAAATGAGTAAAACTTACGAATAGGAGATTTTCATGGTTCGTCCTTCATATACTTCGTCCCCGCCGCATTGTAACGCCAATTTACTTTCAAAGGCAAGTTTTCTCGCTTCGCTCCTGCTTTGCTCGCCCGGTCACAGCGAGGCTCGTGATTTCGGCCCTCGTGTTCACTATAAACATCCCAGAGTCTTTCCAACGCATAATTACAAATTCACTTTTATGAGACATCACTTTTCATGAAAGCCTCCAGAATTCTAACTGCCTAGTTAACGCCGGAACGGCGCGAAGTGCCGGTTTAAACTTCTTTAGGTTGTACCGTACACTACATTTCAGCCTGTAATTTAATTGAATAGTTATATTAATTTAAATTATTTGTTTGGACAATCTCCGAATACTTCATTTTAAGATATCTTGTACTTTTGTAAAATCTTTGATTTAATAAATGCAGTTAAAAATGTTAATTTTTGAGTTATGCAAATGATCTTAAACGTTTGATATCAAGAATTTTGTTGTAGTTTGTGCATTTCTTAATCTGTTTTCTAATTTTAGTTGATTCATCTTGAAAGATGGTGGTAAAAGTAAAAAGGAAGAGCATTAATAGCAGCGGAGTGTGGGAAGTTGATGAAACAACATTGTCAAATGAGACAAAAAGTACGAAACTGACTCCTAAGCCAGGACAAGGGAAATCTATTACCATACCTAAACCAGGAAAAGGGAAACAAGGAATGTCTCCTAAGACAGGAAATCAGAATACAGGAAGTCCTCCAAAATCAGCAATCCAGCAACCAGAAAGCTCTTCGGAGAAGCCTAATCAAACTTTCAGCCCTTTGAAACGTCAAGGAGAGAGAATTAATGACGCATCACTTCCAGCAAAACAAACAAAAGAAAGTGAACCAAGAAGCCAAATGGAATCATACCAGACACACAGACCTTATACAAATACAAACAGTAAGTTGTGTTGGATAATATATGCTGATTTTAAATTATTCATTTGCTTGTGCATGAACAACATTTTCACCTTTAAAAGTAGCCACTGATTATAATTTTTCTGGTTGTAGGGGAAATTGAAGGAAATGTTTTTTCAAAGTTCTCTATTTTTGTATGAACACAATTGTCTTTAGTTGAAGTTTTATAATATAAGAATTCTAATTTATTGCTTAAAGATACAAATTAACTAGTGGTGCTAAAACAGCTTGTATTTTCTTGCCATTAGTAATAGTTCGGCAATGCCATTTACACAACAATTTTTTGAATATTTTTTGTTTTTGAAAAAATTTTGGTTTTTAACCAACATGAAACCTGCGTCATTCTCTCAATCATCCTTCAGACAATCCAACAACAAAATTTATTCAAAATCGATGGATTTTTTTGTTTTGAAAAGTTCGAAAATGGCAGAGGGCCTTCACGTAAAGTACTCCCAAAATTTAAATACTGGTTTCAAATTCATGGAGCAGCGACATCCACTAGATTCATCTGGGAATATAATTTGTCGAGTAAATCGTAAAATAGTTTAGCTGCTAGTGTTCAGACGTCCTGACGTTTTACCATCAATTGATTTTTTGGTATTAATGATCAAGAAAACATTGATGTGAGATTTTTTCTCTAAATTTAGCACGCAAAGTTTTTGATGAGACCCAATTTGTGCTGTAAGACAGTTACACATTTTTGGGGTCAACAAGAGGCATGTTCCATCATTTCTCTGCCCAGGCTGTACAATCTGAACAGGTAATTCTTTTCTCACAATGACGTTTTTGTCTCTGCTGTCCCACTCACATAGAAATCAACGAAGTTTGTGTACCTGAGCAGAATGCCAAGCAGAAATGCAATTACCATGAGATCACCTCACATGTTCCATTTGAATTTCTCAAATTAGTTGCATGAGTGTTACAGAGATCTCCTGCTTTCAGAATGTTGTTAACTAGCATTCTGAGGTGGTACTGGCATATCTAAATTGTGACATGCTGTGATAGCCTTTATAGCAAATTGAAAATTGAGATATTGCAGTTTTCTTTTTTGATGCGATTCCAGCTATTTTTGTCACCCGTCACTTTTGTGTGATCTGTTGATTCTCTAGTAATCGTGGGAACAGCAAAGGGAAGAGCAGCATAGGCGTTCACAGCTGGAGTTGGTAGCTGTTTGGCTGGTTGGGAGGTGTCTCCCCCTAGGCACAGGGACCATTGAAGAATAGTGGATGAAACATAGCTCCTAGGACCCGGTGTCTCTCAGACAGCAAAGCAGCCTTTTAGCCTTAATGATGCTTCCGAGCTACATTGAAATCGCCTGTTTCTCTCCCAAGAAATACCTCCTTTCTCTGCTAGTTGGTGAAAGGAGCATAGCGAAATTTGCGTGGTCAGACGGAAGAGCAGCCCTCCTGGCCTGAGTCTCGACACGTATAATAAGGCATTAATTCAATTCAATTCAAAGCACCTACATCACTGAGAATGTATTGTGAACCTTATAATCAGCGTGTCACACATGCCAATGTCAAAATTCAGTACCATGTATAGGAACTCTTTCATATTTAGATTGTTCCTTAATAATTAAAACTGTAGAATAAATAAATGAATCTACATCAAAATAACCAATAGACAATGTTTTCAAGTATTTCCCTAGATAGGGAAGCGTGTCACAAGAAAACAGCCAAATTGCCAAAAAACTGAATTCATATTTGAATTAAATATCAAAGTCTTAGCTACCAACAGCAGTCACATTTGTTGTTACAGAAACGATGTTGAGTGTAATTTGGAGTTTTGTGTCACACCAGATTTATTCTGTGGAATTACATCCCAGTTTTTAAAATGAATCAAATGCTTGATTCAATACGTCTATTAATAATCAAAGCCAGAGATTTAATTATATAATGGGAGATGTGTTTAATTATGGGAGAAATGTAATCACCATCACCGGTTGATTTCTTATTCATTTTGTTAATTCTAAAATCCCTTGTTCATTTGTGTGTTTGAAAAGTAGATTCTGGTATAGACCGAACCTAGATAATTTCAATAGCATTTGTACTGTTTGGATTTTGTTATCTGAAAGGTAGTTGTAGTAGTTGTAGTGGTAGTGTAGTGGTAGTGTAGTGGTAGTGTAGTGGTAGTGTAGTGGGAGTGTAGTGGGAGGGTAGTGGGAGTGGGAGGGTAGTGGTTTTCTTTTTTTTATCCCTTAACGTTGGTTTTTGAATTTAAGTAATTTAATTAATCCTTTAGTTATACTTTCATGTCTTGGTTTATTAATTGACTTAAATTTGGAGAGATTGATGATGTGTATAGCTTCAATGAATTTCTTATCAGCTATTTTATATCATCATTGTCATCAAAAATGCCAGTCTATTTTGCTTATTTCTCTTCTCAAAGTTCGGTGGGCAACTTTTTCAGAAACTTCTTCTTTTTCATCATTTATAGTGGGTGATTTTGAAGTCAAAATCCACGTTTTGCAATGATCAGTTAGATCAAGGATGCAAACAAATGGTTTAACATTTATAGCCTTTTAAATTTACCCGTATACATACTGTATTTACCCGATTGTAAGCCGTCCTTTTTTCATCTTTTTTTGTTTTCAAAAATTGACCCTGAGCTTACAATCAGTATCGTGATGTTGCTATAACATAGCTGACACCAGAAATCTGTAAATATATTTTTACAGCTGTCTGGTGTCTATTTTTTGTTGGCAATGCATCTGACTTGTTAGAAAGTAGGAATAAAACCCGCATGAAGCCTCCACATGTATTAATTTGAAATATATAATTGTCTGATTAAAATTCTGAGTTATGGTTGGGGTGAAGTGGTGTTACTCGTGTGGTTCTGGCCTCCAGGCCCAGCAGGCATTCTTTTTTAGTGATCTGACTTGACTATCGCAAGTGTACACAGGGATAGGTAAAGCTTGAAAGACTATTTGTAGAGAACATGTTGCAACAGCTTTTACAGTGTTCAATCTCAATTGCCCTTGACAGCAGCGAAGGTGACTTCTATTTCATGGACAAAAGTGACAGTCAAGTGAGGAATCGGTTGTCGGATGAGAGCACCTGTGTCATTGATTTCTTACACATATGGAAATCGGTGGGCTGTGTTAAGCATGAAATGTGTTTCTTGTGTATAAGTGAATAAATTTTCTTAGTTTTCGTTCATTATTTCTTGGGATTGGCTTATAATGGAGTAAATACACTAATCTATACATATCTTGGAAGATTAGCTGCTCTTGTTGTTAGTTGTATCCCAATTTACAAAAATTGCTTTTGTATTTATTTACTAGACATCTTTCAATAAATCTGCATCTAGATCTCCCATAATGAAATGATTTTTAAAGTTTTTACATTCATTCAGATAATTTGTGTGTTTCAATAAATGATGCTTTGTCTAACTTATGCAATCTATGAAATGAAGTAAACTGTAATGTACCTATATGTGTAATAAGTCAATTACAATTGCCTTCATATGCCCAACGCTGAATTTCATCGCTTTTATGCGATGTATCATCCCTAGCAGAAATACTATTGTACATACAGAATGTGTTGCCTTGATCTTTTGATTTAATTTGTAGATAGCTTGCCGGCATGGTGCACATTTGTGCATACGTGTGTTGTTGTGTGGGGTGTCTTTTTTGTCATAAGTGGTTAGTTATCGTGTGTGTTGTGGATAGGAATTTAGGAATGAAAGATCATCTTCTTAATTTTGAACAAATTTCCACATCCGTAAAGCAAATAGGTACTGTTCTGTAGTGACTTTTCTATTAATCATGTATATGTTTCACATCAACAATGAATAACAAGAACACAAAGATGAAGCCAAATCTCCAATCGTTAATTAGGAGATAATTGTTTAGTCCATATTTCAGTAATAAATAGCTACAACGACACAGCCTTTTTGTCAGAATTTCCCTGACGGTGATACAAAGAATTGCAACAAGGATTTGTCAGAATAATGATAAAAGCAAACATTGCAAAATGTAACTATGTTGTGTTACCTTCAGAAACTTGCTAAGCGGGTACATTAATAAGGAAAAGGAAAAATTTATATTCCCAAATTAAATCCCTATTTTGCCTATCTACTTTTACAGTTTCTTGTGCCTTTAAATAGCAGCTTACTTTATTATATATCTCCAGGGTCATTATAAATAATTAATTTGAATTCGCCACTTTATATTTCAGGCATAACTAATGAGTGATACAATAACTAACTTGGGAAGTATTTGTGATTTGGTCATCAATGTTCTATAGATCCTCCTTTCAACACACAATGATCTAATTTGGCCCTAACACGATGTAGCATTCTTCAGAAATGATTACGTCAACAATGCAATTCTTCAGTTCCTCGATTGTTAGTAGTGGTAGAATGTAAACAATATCTTTAACATAACTTGAAAGAGGAAAAAAATAAAAAATAGGAAATAGTGTGGTCGGGTGATCCAGGGTACCATGTGAACACCTTTGAAACCGTCATCTGCACCTTGCTTGATCCATCAATGTGGAAGTTCTGATTAAGGAAAAAATGCAAATAGTATGCACAACTGTAACTACAAAATTTGAACATATTTTCACGAAAACTATTTGTTTTTGTTTTTGAAAAACTTGTTATTTCAAGCACTTCAGGCACTTAAGGCTAAACGCACTGAAAAATACTGTAGGAATTCAATAGATTGCAGCACTGTCATAGGGACTTTCCTTTACCAATAAAGTCTGAACCAATGGTCCGATTTTCGATTTGTAAACGGGATTTGATGCCTTTTTAAAATAGAATTTACGCTACGCAGCCCAGTTTCCAGAAATCTAGCAAAAACTCGAATTTTAATTTGGTACTCGGACTTCTGAGTACAATATCGCGATGGCGACATGCTTCTTGAATACAACGGCGTGTCAATCATACAAATCGGATGAAGGCGACGTAAAATCAACCTGTTGCGTCATCCTCCCGTTGAGGACACACTCTCGGCGCTCCGGCACACCCAGACCCGGCGACGTGCGGCTCGACTCGGGAGGGGAGGCCAAACTTGCGAGACCAGGTAGTCGGTTTATGCTTTTGTCACTTTACATCTCAATTTTTTTCCTCATGTCAAACTAGTGATGCTGTAACTAAAGTGAATGGTCTCGTATCATCTGTAATAGTAGTATAAAACTATGTAGTTCTTCCTTCGAATACCATCCGAGAATTGTTTGAGGCATTGCTCAAAATATCGATTCTGATTTGGAACAGATTTCAAAAAGAAAATTGTACTAATTGTGTAAATATCACTAATATTCCATTGCATCACATCATATTTTACATACATTTTTCTTCTAAGATCTTCCATTTTCATTCCACCTTGGAAAGAATGAGCAGAAATTACGCACAAGCACATTTATCCTAAGACGTTTTGGCCTTGATAGAATTCACTTAGATTTTTTTTTGTTAAGTAAAATAGCTTAAGCTAATTTTAAAAATGTTTCGTACTTTCAGCCAAATTTCAACAAGTGGTAAACTAGTGTGCGCTCATTGTCAAATCAAATTATTTTTCCCGTGAATATATTAGAAATTCCTAAACTAGATGGAGTTTGGGCGATGCTTTAATTTTGAATATTAAAATTTGAAATTAAATTTATGATATTTGCTTTCACAATCTTTGTGCACTTGTAATTTATGTGCCAATATCACCACAAAAAATTCATATACATGTGTACTTTATTTTACAACACTTTTCTAGATGACTGTAATCGATTAAATTCGATTCAATAGTTAAAGTCCCAAGAACAATATATTCTATTGCACATCTGTTTCTACATAATTAGAGACTACAAGCATCCAGAAGAAGAGTAATGTTAACTTTGAGTGACATGTAATGTAATATTTACCTATTGGACTGAATAATTTTAAAGTACCTGTAACAATTATTGTACGTCAGCTTCTGAGTTATAGACACCCCCCCTCCCCTCTGGATCAGGTTTTCGTCTAGAGCCCCTGATCCTTGAGCAAATGATGAGATTGCCCCTTGTTTTACATCTGGTTATAAATATGATGTAACTTCAAATAAGGTCCTGCTAGTTTGGCCTTCTCCTCTTAGCACGTCACCCAGAGATTTTAACAGCTTTTTACGCAAATACAAAAAAGTCTTTGCTACCCTCCTAGTAGGCGCTATGATATTTCTGCAAGTTTTTATTTTCAAAGAATGTACACGTGTAAAACTGCGGATATCAAAATCCCGATGTTTGAACGTAGGGATAGGCTGTTCGGAGCAATAACGACTATATTTTGGCACCTTCCCCAGTAAAGCAACGACTGTGAGTATCCCTTCTTAGCCCCTGCAGGCACCAATCCTTTGCAGTGGCTGAACACGCAGAGAAATTGAGTGCATGAAAGGAACGCAATTAATGGTCTCCGTTGTAATAATGTGCACAACTTATTGTATAAAAACGAAAGTAAAATATATACACTAGTTTTTTGCTAATTCATAAAACTGTTATTGTCACAAAATCTGATTCTCCTACAACCATAACAATTGTGAATCTTCATCTTTTTATGTGAGGCCTAAAATCTTCATTTATTCTGCACGTCTGATCCTATCTGCCCACCATGGTTGTCAAACCACGGCGTAGGTTGTTGTTCTGTGGTACATACGTATATGCAAGGGTTCCTTCAGTCACCGGCCGCAAAGATGGTAAACTTTGCATTTCCGGAACTAGATGGTATCTGAAGTGCAATGAAATTTATTTTCGGGTGCTGGTGGGCAACAAAAAAGCGACAAATACCCATGTAATTGAATTTCTTGGTTTTCTAGTACTACTTGCGACTTTGCTGAGTTTGCTAACTTGACTAGTTTGCCAATTGTTTATAGCAGGGTCAAATGAAGTGACAAATTTTTTTGCGTAACAAATTAGTTACAAAAAAGCAGCAACTTTTGAGTGTAATTCCAATTTTTCGATAAACTTTATGTATGCTAATTTTATGGACCTCGGTAGGAGGAGGCCCGTGATTTCCAAATCCGATGCAGCACTGGAACTATGGTTCGCAAATGGACAAATTTGCGAATGCCCTTACAGAGTTCTCTAATATTGATTGGCTCGCTAGCTCACTACCCTTTTTCGCTGAATACGTCCCTCTCCATCTTTTTTCAATGAACGTCATGAGTAGTCTGAATTTTATTGTAATTAAATTTTTTTCTTTCTAGTTACCAATTCATAAATTTTAATTTTGGTGAATTGTCGCTGTCTTAACACAATATGAACATTTTTCGTTACATATTTAGTACTATATTACACATTTTGATATTTTCATGTTTTTTTATCCTATCAATTTTTTCAATTTTATGATTACTTTTTATGAAAAGTAATTACAAACTCTTTATTTCCTACATCGTGACTATGTGGTGTGTACTCGAGGATCGTTAAATGAAGACACGGTAAGATCTTCTCACTGTCATGTTCGTCTGCATCAGTTATCTCAGTGGCGGGAAGTGCATGTCAGTAACCGAGATTAGTTTCACTTATAAATCATATGTTGTTTACTGATTTAAAATCAGACCACTTGTTCAGACTTCATTTGTAAGTTTGGAATATGTTGTTACTGCAATGTGGTGGCGACTAATTGAACTAGTGTCGGTACATTTAGCCTTAATGTGCTTTCACTGAACAATAAACAGAATGAATCCTTCTCGTCTTAATATATGATGGATATGATCGCCATAACCAATTAAATTCAAGTTTTAAAGTGTCAAACTTATTCAATTTAGTTTTAAACAGACAGAATATGTATATGAATGTGACACAATTAATTAAATTTATATTTATTTTACTTCACTTTTCAGAAAATATCATTTCTTCACTTTCTCATAAAGAAATGAAACTATTTTTTCTGTGCTTTCTACTATTTTTATTTAATTATTGTTGCAATAGTCCTCTTTCGGCCTTGCTAAAAATGTTTATAAAGGTGAGGAAGTGATGACATTACCATGAACTCACATAAATAACTTCCTGGGAAAATTAATAAGTTCCTGACAGAACTGAAGACTAGCTGCTACTAACAATATTATAGTTAACCCCCCCCCCCTCAATACATCGCGAGGTCCCTTTCCCTAAACACTGCAAAGTGTTTGCGATGCCAATCAGCTCTCTCATTGAAGACATGTTTGTATAAGCATAAATTTGCGCTGTTTTGTAATACTAGGCACTGACCCCATCTGAAAAATAGGTCTTAACACTGTCATAAATGTACTTGACAAGTAAAACACACTTGGAATGTGCGAGTTGAATTAGTGTCGTGTTTCAGGCACCCAGAAAAAATAATTTTTTGGTTTTTTACTTCTTTGCTTTGTCGGAAGTATAGAACCAATTAATTCACAGCAATCTCTGATTTATGTAAAGTAGAAAAGAATATTTTTCTAAAGAAAATCACTGTGGACAAAAAACTCTTGGCGACAAATTATCTTTTGGTCTCGTGAAGATTGTGAATGATGGGTGAAGACAGCAGAAGAAACGAGGACTACCTTTCTCAGGCAGTTTCCTTACAATTCTTATTAGTTAATAAGTTCCGACAGGACCAGTAGTGCATGTTTATTCATCATTGCCACTGCCCAACATTTTTTGTGGCATTATCAAGTATGGTCGATTCACACTTTCGTGAAAAATCACTGAAAATACACAAATTGCGCATCACTGACAATAGATACGAGGCAAAATCTCACTCTCTACATTACATCCCAAAACTTTACCACTTGTTTTTGTCATTGTTCCCTAGTTGTTGCAGCAGTTTCAAATAGAATGGTTGAAGGGTTTCTATTTTTATTGTTGACGCAAAATCTTCCAAACAGCTTTGTCATACCTAGTTTGCAACTTCCATAGTTTTTTGTCTTGCACAGTAGCTGAAAGTCCTTTTACATGCCTTCATCGGAAACCCTTTGTCGGCTGGAGCTTGTATGTGTAAAGAGATGTTAAAAGTTCTTGAACTGCCTCTACTTTGCCTCGCACTGATGGCTCCACCACTGCTATCTTTTACTCTCTCGGAAACTGGTCTAGTGTTGCTATCAGGTAAATTGCATGATTGCAAAAATTTGGAGAGTATGCATTTATAAAAAAAGAATGATTATGGCTTTCCAAGATTTTGCAAACCAGATTTAGATGATGCCAACAAATAACGGCAAAGTGAGTACTTGCCTTAGAGCCCTTGCTGCTGTGGAATGGAACAGACCATGTATTATATTTTAAGTTTTGACATGTATGGTTTTACTGTGACATGTATGGTTTTACTGTGTTTTAAGGACGTTAAAGATTGGCTAGAAAACTGCAAGTTTATATTGTAACTGTAAATTTGTGTGTTTTATTTTATGGTTAAAATTTTTTTGTAGTCAGGGGTTGAATGCAAAAGAAAATATAGTTGTAAATTGAAAATTTGGAAATTTGCTTTCTTAAGAAATTAGTTTTGAGTATTCAGCCTTCAGACATTGATATTATTTTTCTTCTTGTGTAGATGTGAAATTTTGTGTTTTTTGTCATAGATATATTATTTATACAAATCATTATTTTTTAGCTTTTTGTACATGGACTGCTGGAGAACTTCTGAATTTAGTGGTAAATGTTGAAGAAAATTGTCAACACCTCCTCGAAGAGCCTTATACTTCAGCAGTAAAGAAAGTGGATTGGGGCAAGGTATGCTGGTGTGCATGTGAATTTAATTTTTGAATGTTATCTTTTAAGATGAGTGTTTTACGTACCATATTGAGAAATAGCTCATTAAAATTTGTTTTTCATTACAAAATATATTTTTCCATGTAAGAGTATTTCTAATACAATTTTTCTATATAGTTGTCACCAGATTTTGAGTTTTGAGGACATAAATTCTTTGAAAATGACAAAAAGATCAAGGGGAAATAGTATAAAAACTAGTGGTGCTAAAACTGCGTGTACTTTCTCACAATATTAGTGTTATCGTTTTGTTTGACACTATGCCCATATGTGCTTAATTTCAAACTGAAATTAAGCGAAAACTAGAAACTTTTACCAACAGATTGTTCACGACCTTTTTTAAACAGCCATTTCTACAACAAAATTTGTCTCTGGCAAAAATCTCAATCGTAATTTTTTTGTTGTGTATTTTTTTTTGCAAATTAAAAAAAAAGCAAGCAATCAGAATGGGCCCGGCACAATATTTTTTAGCTTCTTTTATTACACATGTGGATAAAATTTGAAGAAAAAATTTGGAGGGGTTTTTGAGGGGAGGAATGCAATAATTTCAAGGGCAAATTACATATTAACTGTTCATTTCTTCCAAACATTGTACTGTACCTTTTTGAAAGAGGTAATTTTGTACAACACTGTCTGAGGTAAACTTAGCAAATTTTTGAAAAATTGGGGAAGTAATAGAATGGCCTTCACCATTCTCTTAAACGTTCTTCACACTATTAAACAACAAAATGTAATTTAAAAAAATTCGTCATTTTTTTCAAAATTTGAGAGGGCTTCATTTAAAGTACCCCCAAAATTAAAATATTGGTTCAAATTCCAGGAGCCATGACATTATCCAGAACAATTGGGGATTATCAATTTTGTAGAATATAGGGGGAATGGTTAATAGCGGTGTGGACAGGCGATCGGACAGACAGATGTTTTGCCGTCATATCGATTTTTTGGTATGAAGGATGCACATACCATAGAATCTGGCTACATCATGGTTTTTTTTTCTTCTATATTTAGCAATGGGATTTATTGACCTTTTCTTTAACAGGGCGTGGTATTTCTAGTTTTTATGTTGAAAATTGGTTGTTTTCTGGCACATGATTACAATAATTCTTTTTCTTACATTAGTGTGAGAAAGTATGAATAGGAGAAATTACCTAATTTCTTAAATACTAAAAAATTGTATGAATATGTTTGTTCATTCTATGAATGTTACAATACAAAATTTTTATATAAAACCATATTTTATGAAAAAATATATATTGTATGAAAGATTAAATTTTACACAATTTCGAAGGAAACATAATCCTTAGATCTTCCTACAGTTGGGTTTGAAAAGTTGAGGAAGTTACCGAATATCGAGAAACAGTCCAGTGTTGTAGTGAATCTTGTCATGAACTGATGATGCAATAATTCACTAACAAAAAGCATGAAAAGGATAGAAAATGCGTAAAAATGATAATAATTATCCATAGGTCAAGAAAAATTACCTAAAAAATTGAAATATGGCTTTAAAAGAGAAAAACTTACTCTTCATGTCTAACACATCGTGATTAACATTATTTACTTTAGCAAATTCTGGAATGGTACTGTTGAAAACCTGACTTGTCATCAGAATCCAAGCTGTGATTGTTAACTTAGTTCAGACATTTTACATTGCAGTTAACCAAATCTATGCCCATTGACAGATGCATCCAGTGAAGACTGCCTTCTGGACAGCATTTTTTCTGAAATGTTATTTTGAACAATCCTTTTGTTTTTTTGGGTTCACTTTTTCAACCCATCATTGACAACAAAAGCTGCCCGTTCTGATGATAAATCATAATTCTAATTATGTTGATAAAACTTAATAATAAAAGTTGGTTGAATCATTGAATTGCATCATTGAACTGTCTTTGCACACTTTCTCACCAATCCATCATTAATTTTCACCATGACATTTTCACCAATGTCAAATCAGCCAAAATTTTCCAACCATCTTCCAGTGGGACTGAAACTTTATAAATCTTTTTGAATCAAAACAATTGTCTTTATGGCATATGTTATTTATTTTAACTTTTTTGAAAATTATGAAATTTCATGTTTTGCATGAGTTTGAAGCAATTATAAAAAAAAAAAAACTTTATACATCTTCAATTTTGATTTTACTTCACAACTTGCTTTCTAAAGGATTAAAACAATAAACTTAATAATATGGGCATTAATAAGGCAGTATTAAGCCCAAAGTTAAAGATTACTATTTTTCTGTAAATTCATTTTCTCAAATATTCCATCTCACTTTTTTTTCCTTCTTTTTCTTTTTTTTCTTTTTCTTTTTTTTCTTTTTCTTCTTTTTTCTTTTTCTTCTTTTTTTCTTTTTCTTCTTTTTTTCTTTTTCTTCTTTTTTTCTTTTTCTTCTTTTCCTTCTTCTTTTTCTTTTTCTTCTTCTTTTTTTTCTTCTTCTTCTTCTTCTTCTTCTTTTTTTCTTCTTCTTCTTCTTCTTTTTTTTTCTTCTTCTTCTTCTTCTTTTTTTCTTCTTCTTCTTCTTCTTCTTCTTTTTTTCTTCTTCTTCTTCTTCTTTTTTTCTTCTTCTTCTTCTTCTTCTTTTTTTCTTCTTCTTCTTCTTCTTCTTTTTTTTCTTCTTCTTCTTCTTTTCTTCTTTTTTTTCTTCTTCTTCTTCTTTTCTTCTTTTTTTTCTTCTTCTTCTTTTCTTCTTTTTTTCTTCTTCTTCTTCTTTTCTTCTTTTTTTCTTCTTCTTCTTTTTTCTTCTTTTTTTCTTCTTCTTCTTTTTTCTTCTTTTTTTCTTCTTCTTCTTTTTTCTTCTTCTTCTTCAAATTGCAGTGCATTGTGGTAGTTCATAGTGGTTAAACAATCTTAAAAATAAATTGGATTTTGCAAAAGTTTTTAGTACTTGAAGTTACATTTTCATTTTTGCTTTTTATGGGCTTAGAAGAACAATACATATAAGTGCTTCTCATTTGTAAATTTTGCTTTTATTATTTAGTGAATGATTCTCTTACATTTTAATTGTATTTGAAGCATATTTTTGAAGGGAGAAATTTCAATTTATACCAAATATCCCACCAATTGTAGGCACCTTTATCTTCTACAGGGTGCGTCAGAGAAACTTACTTATTTGAAAGATCAATAAAAACAAAAGTACTTCAGTTATTGTTTTAAATTTTTTTTAATTTGAGAATACAATATCCAATTTTTTTCATGCAGTCTTGAAAATGACATCGGATAAATGGCGACCTCCATTGTGCATACACTGATGAA